AGAGAAGAAGGAAATTGGATGGGGGAGAAGAAGGAAGTTAGAGAGGGAGGGGGAGAAGAAGGAAATTGGAGAGGGAGGGAGAGAAGAAGGAAATTTGAGAGAGGGGAGAATGAAATTGGAGGGGGGGAGAAGGAAATTGATGGGGGGGAGGGGGAGAGATTGACATACATCACACACACACACAATGCACCCCTTGCACACAGAAAAAGGGAGGGGGTGTGGGGGCGTCAGCACTTTGGGCGGACACGGGTGCAGGCACCGGGGGGCCCAGACCTTGAACTGTGTCAGGGGCCCCACAATTTCTGATGGCAGCCCTGCCTCCACTAACTCACACAGAACCTAATCCCACCTACACATTCATACACAACCAATCACACGCATCTATCCCCACACTCATACATGTGCCCTTGTCCGCTTAGCTGCGCTAGCTCCCCAGGGCCTGAACAACTACAGCTTAATGTCCCTGCAGGCTTCTTGCTGTAAACACTTTGTTTATATTATTATTATTGCCATTTACATAGTGCCAACAGATTCTGTAGCGTTTTACAATATTATGAGAGGGGGGATTTAACTATAAACAGGAACAATAGGTTGAAGAGGACCCTGCTCAAACAAGCTTACAGTCTATAGGAGGTGGGGTATAAGACATGTTAGGACAGGAAATATCAATCAAATAGGGTGGGAGTGAAGCAGAGCTGGAGGAGAGAGTAAAGCACTGCCCTATAGGAGAGAGCAAGAGACAGGTATGTAAGGTAGAGGTTACTCTGGGAGGCCATAAGCTTTCCTAAAGAGATGGGTTTTAATGCACTTCTTAAAGGATTGAAGGATTCTGATGGGGTTAGGCAGGCTACTCCATAGGAAAAGAACCACCCGCGAGACGTCCTGCAAGCGTGAGTTGGCTGTACGAGTGCGAGCAGTGGTCAGGAGGTGGTCACGTGCAGAGCGGAGGGAACGAGGAGGGGCATATCTTTGGATCTGTGAAGAGATATAAGAGGGGCTAGAATTGCTCAGTGCTTTAAATGTGTGGGTTAGCACTTTGAATTGATTCCTATAGGATATAGGGAGCCAATGTAAGGACTGGCAGAGGGGTGAGGTGTGAGAGGACCGACTAGAGAGGAAAATCAGTCTGGTGGCAGCATTCATTACAGACTGTAGTGGGGCAATACAGCTTTTGGGGAGACCAATCAGGAGAGGGTTACAATAATCCATGCAGGAAATTATTAGAGCATGGACAAGCTCCTTGGTAGCATCTTGTGTAAGAAAGGGGCGGGTGCGGGCTATGTTTTTAAGTTGGTATCTACAGGATTTGGCAACAAACTGGATGTGACATCCAGTCAGAGATGGAAGAAAGGCAAGCAGTGACACGTTGCAGGATGGCAGGGGAGAGGTCTGGGTAGGAGAGGTATATCTGAGTGTCATCAGCATACAGGTGGTATTGGAATCCAAAAGAGGCAATAAGTTTGCCAAGAGAGGAAGTATAAAGCGAAAATAGAAGGGGACCAAGGACAAAGCCTTGGGGAACTCCAGCCGAGACAGGACGAGGGTAGGAGGTATCCTTGGAAAAAGAGACACTGAATGAGCGTTGGGAGAGATAAGAGGAAAACCATGAGAGGACAGAGACTGAGCGTTTGAAGAGTTTGAAGGAGGAGATCATGATCAACGGTGTCAAAGGCAGCAGAGAGGTCAAAGAGAATTAATATGGAGTAGTGATCTTTGGATTTTGCTGCGATTAGGTCATATTACAGCCTAATGGCTGCTAGAAGTGCTTCCTGGGTCACTGCTGCACAGGGTACAGTACCTATGCTCAGTGTTTCCATCTTCTGAATGGAGACGCTGAACTTTCCCCATAGAGATGCATTGATTCAAAGCCCCTCTGTGAGGAGATGCTGACTGGCTAGGGTGGGGTGATGTCAGCCAAGGGGGCAGTGCCAGTGGACTTGTGCTGCACTGGAAATAAGGCGAGTTATTACTATGTTTAAGGGGTGCAAGAGGGACCAGGGAGCTAAATAGTTTATTTAATACTATAGCGTCAGGAATACATGTTTGTGATGCTGAAGCTGAGACCCTTACAGTGAACCTATGTCTTTGAAGATATACAATTTAACATATTTTTGAGGGGAAAGGGCCTGACTTTCATGCTGGCTGGACGCGTTTCATGAGAGCTCCCAGCTTGTATCCTGATATATGGGACTAAATCGAGCTACAATGGGACATCCCTCATTTCTGCCCCAGCCGGTCTAGCGTGGAGTGTCCGACAGAGGCAATATTTGGCTTATTGACAACACATGCAGTGAGGCCTGGGAAGCGCACCGAGCGTGGGAGGCGGCTGATTGCCCCAGATGGGAATTGCCAAAGCTACAGCACTATCACTTTGTTGCCCCCTTCTTCCCCTTTTGGACGGTGGGGGTTATCCCAGTCCGCTCCTGGAAGGCTACCCCGCAGTGGCAGGCATCAGTGGCATTTACAAGCATTCCAGTAGAGGGTGCAGTGGCCAAAGCAATATGGCGGATGTTACGTGCTCCATCCATCTCAACAGAGGGGAACCCAACATCATGTCTAAGCTAGACAGACTCTTTGATGACTTCTGGCGGAGTCCCCGAGAGAGACAGTCTTCTCCATGTGAAAACAGCAACCACTCTCATCACCCTCAGCACTCACATCGCTGTCGTAGGCCTGTCGATCTTACTGTGAAGGGGGTCAGAACATGGAGGCAGAGGTAGCGAGGTCCCCTGCTCAAGCGCGGGCTGAAGCAGAGGCAAGACACACTGCTACTCAATGCTGAGACTCCCCATGAAGCTGGGATGCTGAAGAGAATCGGGACAGTACCGCAGATCCTGTGTCGCATGTCTTTGATTCAGAGAGGGGGCCTCAGAAGTAACTGTGCTGCTGACTGCGCTCTGCCCCTTAATGGCATAGGCTGAAGAGGGCTATGTGGTGGGCATCTTAGGGGCCTTACCCTCTGACATAGCTCAGATGGTGATTATTCTCATGTTGCTGTGTCCCCTGCTGGCATTTTTCCATTATTTCGTTATAACTTTTCTTTATTAAGCTGGTGTACTCAATACTTCTCTGCCCGCACACAAGTATTCTCAATTATTCTACTGGGGAGCCTCCGAGGTAGAGGCTAATCGCCTGTTCTCAGATCACTTTGTGTACCTTCCTATAATTGCTTCAAGTATCTGAGACCGTTTGTTGTTTTTATCTACAAAAAAAAATAATTAAAAATTGTACTGTGATCTCAACTGTTACACACTGTATTGTTGCAGTGTAAGCATGCAGAAGCCAAACACAGAAATATTGGACACAGGTCTTCAGGAAGTAACAGGCCTTTATTCACATTACCGATCGGGTCTCAGATGAACTCCTGTTCCAACATTCTGAGAGACCAACACATAGTGTACATTCCCTATATAGCACTATAACTCCTCCCATTAATAGCTACACCCACATATACCTTTAACCAATCAATGAGCAGAATATAGACTTGTACATCTAGTCAAACCACATGGCTCATCCAAGACAAAAGGAAATAAGTGCAATTTCAGTTCCTGCATTCCTGCACATGCTCAGTACACTGATGACAGTATCCTAGCTACATGTAGCTAACCAACTGACACAACATACACATATGCCACATGGAGATTTTGGCCTACTAAATTTTGACCATGCTGGAATCCCATCACATTCCCCCCTTTGATGCCTCTGATATAACATTATTCCAGATGCATCACCAATCACAGTTTTACCTACATCTCTCAAGTAGCCATTGAACCAGAGTAGACCTTGTAAGCATCTTAAAAACTCCTTCAACATTCTTCATCCTGAATATATTCTCTTCGGGCTAGGGGATCATATCTTCCAGATAGCCATTACATGGGCAGCTGTCTTTCTCTCTATAGTACTCTCTATAATACTACGTAGGGACCTTACCACTGGTGGAATTAGACAGGGCAGGAGGAGGCACACAAAAAATATAATAAATTCTACTCCTCCTACTAATGTCTTAATTCCTCCAAGCTGCTCATACCAACTTCCAAACCAACTACTTAGGTTATACCCATTCCAGACCTGAGTAGGTACATGCACAAATTTAACCATGTGGCTTGTAAGTTCAGCCACTGCCTGCCCTTCATCATCTATGTGCAGACAACAGTTACTTAGATTAAACTTTCCGCATACACCTCCTTCTACTGCTAGTAAGTAATCAAAAGCTAATCTATTTTGATAGATGGCTGATCTCATCCTGGTATTTTGCTTAGCTAGAAGATTAAGCGCTTGAGCTGTCTCATTAGTAATAATCTCAACCACCGCCTGTAGTCTAATAATGCGGTTGAGCATATATATCGGAGTTCTATATCCATAAGTGCCATCTTCTGCCCAAGTAGCAGGTCCATAATAATTAATAATACGTTGAGGGGGCCACTCATTATCTTCCCAACTACCTATATTCAAGGATGCTCTCTTCCTTTTATGATTTACATCGTAAACCTTAACTCCCAAGGTCTCTCCTGTCTCAATTGGCAACAAGAAGAAGGATGGCTTGAGCATACCTAATACACATGCCCCTTCCCAATCTTGTGGTAACTCCGAATAAGTTTTCTTACCACAGATCCAGTATAAATTTGCTGGGGCTTTCCAACTAGATGTAGCCAATAAGTCAAACCATACCTCCTTTAAATGAGTGTAATTGGCAAACGGATTAGTAGGCTCCGAGACATTTGAAGCTGACCACCAAGTAGTATTTTAGTATTAACATTATAGGCTTTTTGTCCCAAGCAAGTTAGCTCACCTACAGACGTGTTATACATTGTCCCTTTCCTGGCTATACAAACATGACCTATAATGGAGGTTTTTAACCACCATTCCAATTTACTTCTAGTACTTACTTGATGATCAGACTGGAAAGGTATCTGTTGTTCATATGTCTCAGAGCCAGGGTACCATATTTCCTTTGCCTCCCATGGCCACTGGTCTCCCATATTAGTACCTCCACACACATAGCAATTAGTTACATTAAGACTACCTGCAATACCCTCAGCCAAATCAATAAATAGGTTGTTAACTTTATGGGGAATTTTATCCTCAATACTCATCTCCTCATAGAAGGAATGAGAAACCTGATGAGTTTGAGTTGCCACTGTCTCAGTTTCAAGACCTACATATATTATTGTTCCTGAATCTACTCCTGTGCCATATATTTGGAACCCAAACAGACCTCCAAACCTGTCAATAAAGTACTGCAGATTGGAAATGGTCATGTGAACGGGGTTACACACATAGTTTTACAGTATGGTGTGGTAGGCAACCTTTGGATAATCATATCTTGATCCACTGTTTTTCCCAGGTTGCCCAACCTACACATGACCAATAGGGGCAGAAGTTAGTCTCTATTTGGGCAATCAGGATCAGTAGATCTTTTACTGGGACATAAGTATTTATCATTAACCCATAAGTTTGTTCCCATTTAAGATTACCACATACATTCCAAGGTTTTCCACTACCCGAAATCGCCTTACATGCATCAAATAGTAGAATACCTGTGGAATGTATGGTGCTTATCACAGTCCTATTTATTAATGTCCCCTGGGAGTTACTATTCCGAATTACCAACCAAATTGTACGGGGTTGGAAATGGGGATCAAAACATTTAGACTCTCCTGATATTGGCTTGCACACACTATAATCAATATCCAAATATCTACATTTAGATACAGATCCCTTACATTCATACTGTGAGTGCCAGATGAGAGTTTGGGATATTTGGTTACCTGTTTTAGTAGTCTTAATGCAACTATCGCAATTC